CAGCCTACAGTAAAATGCTTGGCACCTGGCACTTACTGTGGTGACGCGATTGCAAACCTGAGTCTGGGAATCCTATAAGCCTGAGCCTTGGGCTGTGTTGCTTTGGAGAACATCTGCTCTTCCTGAGCCTCAGTTGACTCTGAAGAGTAGACAGTGCTGATAGCTTTGTGGAGAAGCTTCACCAGCAGAATTAATGCAGAGCACACAGTAGTTAGGAATTTTTAACGTAAGTACCATATCTCAAGAAGGCAGACATAGGAGCGTGCCCAGTCCCTCTTTTGGCTTTATTCCACTTTCAATGGCAAACTCCATGGAGCAACCACAATGTGCCAGGCTCTGCTGGATGTTGAGCATTTATTGATGAGCCAAGAAGACACATGTGTAGGGAGAAAAGATGTGGAATAACTGGTGGGACTCAATATATAGTACAATGAATATATGGGAGGAAGACTTGGGGTGTCATGGTGTGCTCAGACCATGCGCCCCTGTGGTAGTATCTTTAATGTGATGCTTAAAAGATGCTCCTAAATCCCATGGTATCCTCCCAGGACAGCCCTAGCCAAGGTTTTGAGGGACTTCTTGCATGCCTTCTGCCTTTTGTCTTTCCTCTTTCATGCATGTAATTCCTCCCTTGGGTGAAGTTGAGTGGGGAAAAGATGAGATGAAACAGAGGCAATGAAAACAAGCAAACATCGAGCTTCTGGGAACATTGAAGGCCTTTCTACACCAAGGTTAGATGCAGGAAGGTAGAGTGCTTTGTAAAGCCAGAGGACCAGCTGCCTTAACAAAAAACCTAGGTCAAGCCCTTCTCCTGATTTGGACCTTGACCTCTCTCCCCCTTGCAGTGTAAAGGGTACACCTCATTGGTCCATGAAAGGGCTCTTGTTACTTTTATTGTCTGGTTCCACATAGGTATAGCACTGAGGCAGGTGTATGCTAATTATATGTAGATTGCATGCAGTATTGCCTGTGGCCTTCCACCTCATGCCCTGAGGATGTGTCCCCTGGGATCATTCTGTAGTCGCACACAGATGGTGCTGCCTTCAGACTGACTTGCACCTGTTTTTAAAATTCTATTTCTATGTTGCTGAACAACTGTGGGGAAGAGCGGCATGGAGGAGTGAGGCTGGTCTTGTGTCCTCCAGAGAATACTGCCCTGTGTCCTGTGTGGGGAGACACAGAAGAGAGGGAATCTGAGCGTCAGATTATCCCAAGTATTGGGAATGACATAAGGCATCCAATTCAAATCAACACATATTTTTGAGCAGCGTCTACATACAAGGAACCATTCTAAGAGTGAACAAAAGAGCTCTTAAATTCTAGCAGGCGATCATTTCATCCCGACCCCTCCTTTTACAGAGAAGGGAAATGAGGCCCAGCAGCGTACAGGGAGTAGTGTGACTTGTCCCAGGCAGTTACCTGGCACGCCAAGCCTCTGGTACCAAGTCCCTGCTTTTGGGGCCAGTAACACAGGGGTGCTTCCCTTCCAGTCCCATGAAATGTGACCGCTATTAAGTTATTTTCATACAGAAATAAACCCCATCACTATGCTCGCCCATCCCTCCTAAAGCTCAATGATTTCCTCTTGCCACTTTGACTCCAGGTAAATATCGCTGAACTTCTGAAGCCATTACTTCAAGGTTCTCATTTCCCTTAATGTGTTTCCTCTTGGTTCTACTGAAAACCCTCTCTTTGCCCTTCCTCTCTGCCTCCCAGGGCTAAACCAGCCCTTACTTCTCAGCTCTGTGTTACAGCAGCTGGCGCCTCTCATTCCTTCCCTCTTTCACTCTCTCATCTACAAACAGAGGTAGCCTAAGCAGGGGTCCCAAGCCCGAGGGAAGGCTGTGAACTGAGAGCACCCTACAGATGTGTAAACATTTTACCTTTCTAACCAGGCTAGCTGCCTTCCAAAGGCAACAGGAAAACCAGGGGCCGGGAGCCCCTGGCAAAATAAAAACCTACAGGGAGGGAGGGGGGAAGGATACTATTTCAGATTTTTAATTTTCTCATTAGAAGACCCTTCATTTTCTTTTCCTGGGGGGAGAGGTTAGGCAGGGGAGGAGGAGAAGTTGAGCTAAGAGGTGGGGTAGGCAAGAATGTGGTAGCTTTGGGTACCTCTGCTCACATGGATTCCCCTACTGGGCAGCAACAAGAGAGGTATGGGAGAACTTATTCCAAATCTGGAGTCAGACCTTTGTCTTTGGAGGGAGTTAGCAGGGAGGTAGCTTTTCATATGCAGTCTTTTAATATCACCTAAGCTGATGGGGAATTAAAATTTTGAAATAGTTTGCCAGTGATTTTGAGCAGGGCTTCTGCTTTTTCAAACCTTCATCCTAGCTCTTAACACATCAGGAAAGATGCCTTTAGGGTACTTTCTCTCTCTGGTCTTTTCTGTATTTTGTTTGCAGACATTTCCTACTTTTTTTTTATCCTCAATATCGCTCTCAGACCCTCTCGCATCTTAAAAAATGAACTCCCATTTGGATAGCCATTGTATGCCAAGGACACTATATCTAGTATATCTTTCAGTATGACAACATATTTAAAGAGAAATACAGATGAGAGAAACAGATGAATTAAGGCCCACAGAGGTGAAGTAATTTTTGTCCCAGACATATGGCTAGTAATTGCTGTCATCAAGATTCAAAGCAGATTATCCCGAGTCCAAAGAATCTGCTCTTTCTCCCCTACAGGAACACATTCTGTCCTCCAGTTCTCCCTGTCCTTTAGCCACAGAGACATAAATTAGTGCCTTCAGTTCTGTTTGTCCTTAAAGTCCCTTCCTTGTCTCTCCCTAGTCGTTGTAGAGTCACTGGTGTCCTTATTCATGAGACGCTCACTGAGTGCCTGCTCTAGCTAGGTCCAGGGCAGGATACAGAGATGACCTAGACATCACTCTTGAGAATCAGCCAGTCCAGCAGAGAGGAGGTAACAGTGAGGACACAGGCAACTCCAAAACCAGCAAGCTAGTGTCGAGTTTCCTAAAGGGAAAACAAGTTCAGAGGAGAGAATGATCCTCCCTCACGGGACTATCAAGACTGCTTCTGGTGCTTGTGTGTTAGTCACTGGGAACCCTGGAAGAAAGATCTCACTTTGACTGACTGTGTGACAAGGAACAAACTTTATTCAAGTCCCTTGAATAAAGAGATGACCCACTTGGTGCTCCGCCAAGGTCACCCGAGGGACCTGCAGGAGCAGGATGTGAGGAGCAGTTCAGCAACTGAAATGCTGTTGCATGGGGAATAGGGAAACTGGTGGAAGTGGGCTTACCCTGTTCCAGCCAAACTGAGGACTATATCAGCAGCTAACAGCGAATCACAGAAATTCTAAGGTCACGCTACCCTCACAGGACTAAAGATTATGTTACCCATCTCTATTGATCTCACTGGATATTGTCCATGACCATTTGATGAGCATTAGTGGCAAATGCACTGTCAGAGTTATAGCGACAGAGATGATGCTTCAGCTGAGAGAAGAGATTGTCCTAAAGGAGGGTTCTTTTATTCATTCTCAACTATCTCTCTCCTCTCACCTGGCCTCATATGTTATCTGACACTTAAAATGCACTCACAATTAGAAAAACTTCTTCTCCATCCAACAGTTTTGCTGGTATCAGTGACACTGGCCATATTCTAGAAAGGCTGCAGAACAAGATGTTAGTGAGTAGCAAGATAATTAGATTCAGAGAGGACCCACTCGCATTCCCAGAGTAGGTCTAGAGATGTCTGGCTGGAACTTCCCCAAACATCTAATAAAACCTTTGATTCGCCTATCTACCCACACTTTGCCAATTGGATAGTGTTGTCCAAAGCTCTGGTGACACTGGTGACCTGGGTAGGAGGTATCATGGGACTAGTACACAGGACAATGCACTCCAGGGTCTTATAGAGCTGGTACCTACTTGCCAACCAGTCAATCTTGAACTTGTGTCTTTACCTTTAATTGCCATATCCATCTTTCTTTAAATGAGAAATATAATATCATTGCTGTAGAGAATGTTATATGTATTAAGTGAATGAATGCATGTACAGATTTTAGCATGATGTCTGCCTTATGTTATATGTATTAAGTGAATGAATGCATCTAAAGATTTTAGCATAATGTCTGGCTTGGCAAGGTTTGCCTATTATTATTATCTAGGCATCTCCGTTATAATTTATATAAAAGAAAGCAAGCTGAATTTGTGTCAGAAGATCTGTCAGTGATTCTTTTGAACCCAAAGGATGTCTCCATCCCATGGGTCTCAGGGCCCTCATTTGCAAGTGAAGGAATTGGAGGTGATAATCTTTAAACATTTATCCAGCTTAGCCATTAAGTGTTTGCCTTTCTTTGGAGGTGCATGCCCAGGCTTGCTAAGACTCTTCTTAGAGAGAGAATCCTTGGATTTTCACGCTCAGCTGCACTTTTCCAGGCCAGCTTCCCCCATATTTCAGCACTATGGATGGTTTGATGCTTGCTGATAGCAGGTGCCTCTCCAAGCTTGAGTGACTGTCCTGCGGATTCCCCTCCTAAACAAGCATCCTCTATTCAACATCATCTCCCACTGTTTCTGCTCCTGCCCCACGTCCAATCATACAATTAAAATGCCAGAGTAACCAGAAAGTCTTCTTCCCCCCATGACCCTTCACAGGCCAGTCATTTTTCAGATTTTTATCGCTCTTGCTGCTGCTCTTACATTTTCTTGAGACAAAGTCCTCTTTCTTCAAACAAAACTCTCTCACACGCTCCATATTCAAAGCTAATAAAAGTGAAAGTGCATGGGTTCAAGCTGTGGTGAGACAGCGCCAAACCCACCTTACTTGCCCTCTCAGATCCTCTAACCCTCGCCTTGCCCTTGGGGTGGTCCCAGAGGCACCATTAATAATCTCCAGGGTCCCACAGGGCAGTTTAAATGCCACTTGTGTAGGATATCCTAATATAAACCTTACCAGAGAAAAGTAACTTCCTGCCTTCTCCTTCCATCTTTTATTTATTCATCTTTCTCTTTTGGGGTCACATAGGGCTGTATGACAAATGTTCTTATACCTCGCGTGACCGAGGATGGGTCGTGGGCATTCACACCGTCAGTGACCAAGGCAACAGAGACCCACGCTACTTTTTCTCCTTGAAGACAGACCGGGCCCGGCAAGTGACCACCATCAATGCCCACCGCAGCTACCTCCCAGGCCAATGGGTATACCTAGCTGCCACTTATGATGGGCGTCTGATGAAACTGTATGTGAATGGTGCCCAGGTGGCCACCTCTGGGGAGCAAGTAGGTGGCATATTCAGCCCGCTGACCCAGAAGTGTAAAGTTCTTATGTTGGGGGGCAGTGCTCTGAATCACAACTACCGGGGCTACATCGAGCACTTCTACCTATGGAAGGTGGCCAGGACTCATCGGGAGATACTGTTGGACATGGAAACCCACGGCCTGCACACCCCTCTACCTCAGCTCCTCCTGCAGGAGAACTGGGACAACGTGAAGCGCATGTGGTCCCCCATGAAGGATGGCAACAGCCCCCGGGTGGAATTGAGCAATGCCCATAGCTTCCTGCTAGACACGAATCTGGAGCCCCCACTGTGTGGCCAGACCCTGTGTGATAACAAAGAAGTCATCGCCAGCTACAACCAGCTCCCCAGTTTCCGCCGACAGAAAGTAGTGCGCTACCGTGTGGTCAACCTGTATGATGATAACCATGAGAACCCAACTGTGAGCCACCAGCAGGTGGACTTTCAGCACAAGCACCTGGCTGAGGCTTTCAGGCACTACAACATCTCGTGGGAGCTGGAGGTGCTGGAGTTGAACAACTCCTCCCTGCGCCAACGCCTCATTCTGGCCAATTGTGACATCAGTAAAATTGGGGATGAGAACTGCGATCCTGAGTGCAACCACACACTGACCGGCCATGATGGTGGGGACTGCCGCCATCTGCGTCACCCTTCCACTGGGAAGCTTCAGAATGGAGTGTGTGACATGGACTGCAATTATGAACGTTTCAACTTTGATGGCGGAGAGTGCTGTGACCCCGAAATCACTGATGTCACTAAGACATGCTTTGATCCCGACTCTCCACACAGGTAAGAGCCTCCTGGGCAGAAGATGCCCAGCTGAAAGCTAAATGTGATACCCCACTTTCTAGGAAAAGTACCTGAGACCCATGGTGGTTATGATAATTTTTCAGTTCATGCAGCACCTTCATGACCAAGGTGAGTCCATCTCTCAGGTGATGAAGGGGACCACATCCTGGCATCGTTGATTATAAAACTACTGATGGAGTGTTTACCATCAGCCATGAAGAAAGACTCAGAACCCTGTCTTTCAAAGATCTCAGTGTTTAAATTCAGTGATATGCACTCTGTACAAATAGGCTTCATAACGTACATAGCAGTGAGTTAGACCTGCACTGTCCAATTCAATAGTCCCTTGCCAGATGTGCATATTTAAATTTAAAACAATTGAAAATAAGTACAATTTAAAATCTAATTCCACAGTTTCATTAGTCACATTTCCAGTACTATTTTCATGTTGTCTGTTGGATAGTGGTGTGGGGCTGGGGTGGTTACCTGGGGTCAACAACCTGGGTTCAGATATCAGCTCTTATAATTCTTCATTTTTGAGCATTAAAGGTTGTTCACTTTTCTGTACAATGGAAATAATCATAATGCATGCTTTGTCAAGATGTGTGGAGAACTGAGAGGAGGTATAAACCACAATCTCTCACCATCGCTGGCTGGCATATAAGTTGCTCTCAGTAAGAATTATCATTTGCTGCCTAGTGAAAGGGAGTGTGTGGTGTTCAGGAAGTGTTCTAGGGGATCAAAGGGGCAAAGCTGACTTACAGCTTGAGCGTATCACATAGGAATTTCTTTGGGAGAGGTGGTGTTTCAGCAAGGTCTTTGAGAATAGGTCTCATTTGAGACAAGTCATAGAGCTAAAGTACAACATAAAGACTACAGGTAATGAAATAGTGCTGTGTTTAGGATTCACGCTACCTGCGTAGATTTTAACTGCCATTGCCATAAAAAGGGGAACTATGTGAAATGACAGATGTGTTTATTAGTTTCACTATAGTAACTTTTTCAGGGCTGAGGAGAAGGAACAGGGGGGACCTTCTGTCCAGTGTCTCACTTAGGCTTTGCCATGGCTGTCAAGTATAATACGAAATCCCAGCTTGAAACCCAGTGGTGACCTGTATTTGATGTGGGACCTGAAGGAACTAGTTTCAAGCCAGAGGAACAGTCAACATCCACTTTCCTGTTTTTCACAGATTCATGCTGAACTTTTCCATTCTGTCCAACACACAGGACCCTGGACTTGCTGATGGCGAGAACACATTTGCAGACCTCTGCAGGTTTTCTGCTGACGCTTCTCTTTATGTCTTTCAAAAGAGCAAGGGCCTCCCTTGCACAGGCAAAGTACCTATGTGAAAAGGAATGACAATGCTGGCAGGAGAATGTCGTGCCTGGCAGCAAGTCAGAAAGCACGTCAGCTCAGCCTCCTGGCACCAGGCGGGCCCCTGGACTCTCACCTTGGCGCCAAGACTGCACAGCCCATGCTGTGAAGAAGCCTTGGTGTGTGGCTGGTGCCTTCCAGGTCACAATGCACTGTCGTCTCTGCCCTCATCTGGGCCTTGCCAGAACTCCACAAGGGAGACAAGACAGGAGTTACCATTTGCATTTCACTGATGGGAGAGAGAGGAAACTTAGAGAGCAGAGAGACTTAATAAGCTCACAGGTCAGGAAGGTCATTCTCTAAGTGAGAAACACCAGTCTTCTGTGTTCAGTGTAGTGTGTTCTATTAAGCGAGACTACCAGAACGTACCTGTGTGCCAGGGCAGAGTGGACATGAGAGAGAATAGGCATAACTGAAAACCATTCACACTTTTGTACTTCCATTCATTTGCTCTTTCACTCATTCATGCAACAAATGTTTATTCATTAGCTGCCAAGTTCTGGGACTGTAGATACACTTAGTCATATTTTGCTGAAGAAAATTCAAGATGCAGAAAGATGAGGGGCCTTTACTAAAGACATTTAGCTAGTAGATGGATAGCTTCAGAGACTTGAAGCGTATCTGTCGTGGTCTTGTAGGCATGACCCTGGGAGAAGCTTTTCCTCCAGATCAACATCTGTGACAGATTATGTCAAACCCAAGCTTAATGACTGACGCTTCAGCTCCCACTGATGGGTGTTAGTTTTAAATCCTAGGAACAGTTATAAGTGCAATTAAAGGACAGGGTGACAGGCAGGGTGGCTTTACTGATATCCTGGGAGAGAAGATATCTGTGATTGAGTCAGGAATAATGGCAATTGGCCTTTGTGGAGCACTAGGCCAGTGTGAGGGACCAGGGGGCCCCAGATTGCAAATAACTCACCATCAGCGGACAGCACTGGCAGATTCCAAAGGCCTCCTCTTTTCTCAGTCACGGGAATGTGTGCAAGCAGCCATGTGCCAGCTGTGTGACCACTCACACCAGGGCCTGTTTGTTTGTTGGCTGCAAAAGCTCCGTGCCCTGGGTGAGCCCCACCAGGCTTGTGTCATCTCCTGACTAGGCTGGGGTTGCTGAGTTTTGGTTGCATCAGCTCTCCTGTGTGCAGAGAGAAACCTGTAGAAAGTTGTAGAGAAATATTCACTTTGTGATTATAAACAAAAGGAGAGAAAGAGGGAGAGAAAGAAAGAAAGAGATCTCTCTATGTATGTATATATTTATTACAGCATATGTTTATATAGTATACATATTCTATGCCTGTCTATACCTCTTTTCCATCTCTCCCCTTCTTTCTCTATGGGTAAAGGGAATTGCTTCTCAATTTATAAGGGGCTAAATGTCACAAGTAACACCTTTATATGGGCCAACAAAAATGAATTGACCTAAAAGTAAAATAACTCCGGAGCAGTGCACACATGGCAGAATTATCTAAAACTTTCCAAATGCCAGCTTGCTACTTGTGTACTCATCATGCCATGGATTGGTAGGAAACAGTTTGTGAACGCCTCCCTTTGAGTAACACTGATTACAATCCATCCTGACAATTTCTGTAGCAGTTCTTTGGAGAGATCCAAGGTCCATCAATAGCGCAGCTGGGCAGATCGTCACAGTCCATCAGACAAGTACTACTCGGCAGTGCGCTGAAATGTTCAGGTTTTGTCTTCAGTGCGCTGAGTATGCTTTCAGGAATGTGTCCCTGCAGGAAAGCACAGTGTCCCAGCAGAGGGGCTGCAGAAAGTATCGCAGTGATTCGTTGTTTGACTTGAGAACATCCTCAGAGATTGTTGAGTTCAACTCCTTTTGCCCCATAAAGGGAAAGTGAGTCCAGAACTCACACAGTTCATTGGTGGTAAAGCCTGGAGAGAGCGGCTCCACATTCCCAGTCCTTAGTTGTGTGCTCCAACTCAGCTCTGTTATGTTCTTGTCAGCCACAGACATGCTTCCCTCACCATCTTCTTCACTTCTCCCAAGAGACTGGGGCTCTAAAGCACTGAATAACTGAGGTTGAAAGGGAACTGGATGACAGCCTTGCATTTCCATGATCCACTTCAGAGCTGTTAAGGCTACCTTGGCAGTAGGTGCCCTTAGCAATAGATAAATGATTAAGACAGCTAGCGAAGGCAATGAGGAAGGCAACTGGAGAAGTGAAGGGCTGGAGCATGAGACATAACCATCACAGATGTTGATCTGGAGGAAAAGCTTCTCCCAGGGTCATGACTACAAGGCCGTAACATATGCACTTCAAGTCTCTGTAGGTTTGCGCTGTGGGAGTTAGTATTATTTTATATGATTTGCAAGCCATGACTGCTGAGACCCCAGTGCTGCAGTTACAAGAGACAGCTTTGAGCTGAGTTACAGATGATGTCATCTCCAGTCAGTGCTTCCCTGCAGGTGAGTGAACTCCTCATGCCCAGAGGCACGCAAGTCAATCCTGATAAACGTGCACAGGGAGGCGATAACTAGTATTAAAGAAGCAGCTAGTCTTTCGTTGAGCCCAGTTCAGCCTAACTTTTGCTGATATCTTACTCTATGTCATATTACAAAGTCAGATGGTGACTGTTTCTCTTCTCTCTAAGAGGTATTTATTGGGCATGTCAACCTCTGCTAACCTCTCTGATACTCTTGAGGGTATTTGGTGGTTTGGACACATTCCTCACCATTGAGAGCTTTCCACTTCCATTGAAAGATCATATACAAGCATAACATCTGATCTGAGGATTTAGGACAGGGGACCTGCAATGCAGAGATCTGTCCTGACTGGAGAAACCAGGCAGATCAGATGGAGGAGAGATGATCTGAATAGGCATCTGAGACCAGGAAGCTGGTTGAGAGGTAGGGATGGCCTGTCTCTATTAGGGTCCTGGGAGGGAAATTCAAGCAGAATAATTAAAAAGGGTGGAAGTAAGGGGTGTTTTGAAGAAATAGCTATTTATAGAAGTATAGGCAGGGTTTGGGGAAACCAATAAGACTGAAAACTTTACTCCAGGGCTAACAAACCCAGGGATGCACTTGTACCTTTGGTCTATAGAAGCAAAAAGACAGAGTGATGACAGACACCAAGGAGAGTGGCTGGATAGAGTGGGTTTCCTAGCAGCAACTATGAATTTCAGTACAGGCGAACAGTCAGACTATCACCCCCGATCGGAAGGGACCTGGAGTAGCTTCCGCATTGTCATTCGCTCCTGCTAGGTCTTTCCAGTGGGTAAACCGAAATGGAAGTCATGAAGCTAACTGGCCTGTGAAGGCCATCTGCGGACGCAAGCGTTCCCAGGGCGCAGAGCAGTAGGGTGGGGCTCTGCGTGAGCAAAGGGGTAGCGCAGCTCAGAGAAAGGCAGCCCATGTGGGGGAGGGGGCAGCACAAGGTCGGGAGGAAGGCGAGCAAGGTGAAGAAGGGCCTGTGAGTAAGGGCTCAGTCCTGGTGGCTGGGACCCAGAAAGTGAGCCAGTTTATTTCCCCAAAATCATTCATATCAGCCCTCCTCATTCCTTTTTTCTCTTCCTCATTCCTTTTTTCTTACCTCCTCTTCATTTTCTTCCTTCCTTGTGCTCTTCTCTTAATAAAGTGTTTGGTGAATACTCCCTGGTGCCA